GTAGCATCCTTCCTACAAAGTTCGTCTATGCCCTTGTGGAGAATATGAATAATGAAGAATTCAAAAATATTGAATTCCTCGATGAACACCTATTATAAATGTTATATTGTTTACCAGCATTATAAGCGACTTTTTCTGTTGCAAGAAATTGTTCATAGAAGGGCGTTTTACGACACGAATTATGACGTTATTAACATGACTTATTAGCATTTTTCAGCGCGAATGATAGCGTAATCGCACGTTCAGTCAATCGCAGCGAGAGGTAGCGCCAAACGCAACAGCCGACCACCGATTGCTCGCACAGATGTCAAATACCTGAGACGTCAGAAGAAAGTTGTTTCGTAAAATTAAGTTTGATTCTCTTTTAAATTTATAAAGCTGTTTTAACAAAAAAAACACCTATGCAACTCTTTTATAATGTTTATTGCATTCGTACAAATGTGAAAATTAGCTCTTTACGTCGCTCGTTTTCAAAACACTTGTGCAATAAAGCTTAACATTATAAACTAATTGCATTAACTACAATTTCTATGATATTTGGTTTCTAGATTTATTGAACTTGTCTAATTACAAGTAATAAAAATAAATTGGAAAGCCACTGTTATATTCTTCTGGTTATTTTTTAATTTTTTTTCCTACCACGTATCAAATTCAATACGTTTTGTGTCAAAATGCTCCATGTCATGTAGAAAATTAATGAAAATGTTTTGAACTGCGTTCATTAAAACGTAATTGCATTTTAAGATATTTAATTCTGTGCGTGTCTAAAGGAAAATTTATCAGTAAATTACATCAATTCTAAAACATCTATTTTTCGTACGAAGTGTAAAGTGAAGGTAGGACCTTTTTGAAAGCAACTTTAGAAACCAGGGCCATGTGCTTAAAGTCTAAATGGTTTTGTCGATGTCACTTTTCGCAAAGAAATGAAAGAAGAAGTTAGCTGTATCCGTCTGTTCAGAGAATCTTTAGCTACATTTTGTTCTCGTCACCTTGTGCCTGTGGCCTGTTATCCAAGCGAAATTCTCGAAAAGAAAAGCAAAAAAGAAACAAGATGCACAATTGAATGGGTGAAAACCAGAACGTTAAAAGTGGCATTGCGTAAATTCTGAGAAATCTGTTTGAGTCAATATCAATAGTGTCGTGGTGTTTTGTTTCATCATTAAAACCTATATATAGCTTTAACGGATATATAGCCCAAAATAAACACGTTTTTAGCGGAATTTATAAAATGTCATTTATCCCGTTCTGGTTTTCACCCATTTTATTTTATTTAGTCAAAACAAAACTGTAAAACAGTAAAAACTGTATGTGACGTATGGGGGAAGATAATCTGCGCACGTTTTCGTGAGTTCCAGAATCCCTTCCCATCATTTTAACTATAAATAGTAAAAAGATGAGTTAAAGTTAAGTAAATAAATTTTAAAAAAATGTAAAAATGCGCGAGATTAGCGACATTTGAAAAACTAGACATTTTCGTCCCCGAGTTATAGAAAACTTATTTGCATCGGTAAACAAATTGAAAGTATGATTTTTCTGCATTGTTAATAAAATCGTAACTCACCCTTACCTCCTACCCCTACAAGCAAAAGGAGAGTTCAACAAAACGTGCGCATAGTGAAGCTACATATATGTCCAGAAGCAAAACATCGGGCCATCTCAGCATTTGTTCAATGTATCAGGGAAACTGGACAAAACCCTGATTGAGATGGGGGTAATTGACCCGGAAGCTGAGGTACATTATTTGTTACAAGCATATTAAGTCTGTTACAAATTATACATTACAGTTTTAAACTCATTCATTATATATCACTGTTTTGTTAAATAAACATTATTTTTTCTTTTTGTTGATCAGTATAATCTCTAATTGTATAGAAACAGTTATGCAGCAGAAAATATATTACTTTTAACTTAATTGTGTGTACTGATTTCAGTAGTTTAATGTCATATGGCAATGCGTTTTAAAGGAACGTACATGTATTGTATGTGAATCAGTTTTGACAAATATTACAGATTCGTAAATAATTGAGATTGCGGAATTCCCACGATGAAATCACCCTATCGGGGTAATGTCACCTCATGAATATTGAATTTCTCACTTAGGTTTTGATCCATAATTCTAGTATTTGTTTTGATGACTTAAAAGCCTATTTGATACTTTTTGTAATATGTTGAATGAAATGAGATACGCACATTATCAAATATTTGGTAAAGTAAAGTAAACGCTACAATTTTAAGAATGAACTACATTTAATTCAATATTAATATTTCGAAAAATACACCCACAATGTTTTTGAAAGTGTGCAAAAGTTGTTTCAATTATCATTCCGGGCTGGTGCCTTTCTATGGTGAAAAGTGTGCCATGCTACTCCTGTGTGCTTTTTAATCAATAAATTCTGAATTTTAATCGAATAATTATTTTGTTAGAAACTTTTATACTTTTTTTTTTTTACTAAGCAGCGAACAAATTCCTATGGTTTTGTAAGGCACGTATCTGTGTAATATAGGGAAGGTCCTACACACATTCGACTCCTTTCTTCATTTAGTGGGTCTGCCGTTTATACTCCGCTTCACTTTGTGTATCGTCACTAAAATAAGATCGTGAAGTACCGTCTACTCATCGCCTGCCGATATTGTTTGGCCCGCTGCGCCCTTGACCCAAGGTGGCGAATTTCACCCACACGCACAAATTTTCTTCGGTCGCTCAGAACACAATGGAAATAAGTCTAACGTGTGCAGGACATTCCGCTCTCTTATAAAATCAATTTGCATTTTTTTAAATCCATTGCATAAATATCCTGGAAATTCAACTTTTCGGAAAGTGTTATTTTTCATATCCACACATGCATTTTCCTAAATAATTGATTGTATTGAAAATGATATCTTTACCACACTTTGTATTTGCTGTAATCTAAAGCATCATTCACAGGTACAATGAGGTGTTCCTTGCTGCGATACTTGATGGATATATGATGTGGTGACCACTTGTACTCGCTCACTCCCATAAGTGGATATAACGAATACGTACGAGACACTTGCATTCAGTAGAATTATAGAGGAACGAAGCATATTATTTCTTTAGAAGGGTAGGAGTTAAAGTGATTAATAATAAGGAAAACAAAGCCAGAAGAATAGAGACTGAAATTTGAAAATGAAATTCAAACAGCAAGAATTTTGTAGAAAGTTCCCGGAAGAGGTGGTTCAGGGTGTCAACCGATGTTACTGCAGTGCATCTTCTAGGTTCGAGTCCCGACGGTGGCAGAATTTTCGACCCAGCTTGGTCGAATTCAGTAGCTGTCTGGAGTAGACTTCTAACAGCGGGCTGCTCTGATGGGTAGTTTTCTGTGGTTTCTCCGTTTAACGCCTTGCAAACGGGCCACTGATCGCGCACGACTCTTCCTTGTCCTATCCTTTCCTCTTTCACACACACACACATACACGTCATGCACTACACTACCACATGTGCCGGGAGACCGGTCGGGAGTTCAGAGCTTGTCCCGGCTGGGGCTGTACTCCGCTGGTGGGAGATACGTAGTTGAGGAAACAGTCGGTTGTTGATCGGCGCCGGATCTCGCCATCTAGTGGGGCAAGAACACCGCCAATCTACGAAGGAAAAACATGCATTAAACTTACGAGACTATTGACGTTAGCAGTTGACTCGCCCGGAACCACTAACAATCAATTGAAGAAAATAGCTACTGCCCTGAGTAAATCAAGAGTTTCCCGGAAGCATTGATGTTCCGAACCTGCCGGTGACAGATTCGTTGTACTAAGCCGCCATATTTTCTCGTTTTGTTTTTGTGTTTTGTGAATGCTATTTCGTATGTCAACTGCTTCTCGTGATACCTAATATGTTATATAATATAAAATATTAATTTTAGAAATTATACTTTGTAACATGACCTACGAAACTTAGGTTTGGAAATTACGGTAAAGTTTCATTAAAGAGGTATACATGTGCATTTACAGTACGTATTAAAAAATGCTGTCTTTTTACAGTCTTCGTGGCTTTAAAAAGGTACAATGGAACACGGTCGTCCATAAATTACGTAACACTGAAGAAGTGGTAAGAGGTTGGAGGCAGCGTCACATAGGAGTAGGAGGTATTAGTTAAGTGTTACGTAACATTGATTTTTTTTTTTTACATTTTTCAGCATTTGCTGAACTGACTCTTTTTTGTGTCATGTACTAAAATATTAACTATTCTTTAATTTCTACTTTATCATTAATAATTTAATATATATCACAAGTAAAATAAATAAATAAATTGTAAATAATAGTAAATTTTTTTTTACTGTGCTATAATTTATTTTCACTTTTTGCATTTACAAGGGGGGGTGTTGTCGCTAGCGTTACGTAATTATTTAGGGGGGGGGGTCAAGCGTGCGTTACAACGGGAAGAGGGGGTATTGAAAATACTCCAAATTGGCGTTACGTAATTTATGAACGGTCTCTTAGAAAATCAATTGTGCCAAACAGACTTTCTGGCATAATGCATGTGGATTATATGTTAATTTTCATTTTATCTCAAATTGTTGCAGTTTTTTGCCACTACCTCTTCTAAGTAATAAAAATAGATTACTCATTGAGTACCGTGTTTAATTCAACGCATTTTGTTTGTTTGCGTGTGACACTTCAAAACGCATTTTACTTGGAGAATCTTAATTTTACTTTGTTCAGGAAACATACAATTCCCTTATTCTGATACCAACGATCGGTCTCCGTAATTTCAAATTTTTGTAACGTCGAACGTTTCATATTTTCAAAGGTAGCGAAACAAATGAAATAGAAGTAAATAATGATATTATATGTAACTCTTACACCACTTCCAGGAAGTGGTGATAACACTTGTAAGTGCAAAATAACGTAAAGGACTTTACGCAGCGGTTGCTTCGGTGGCGGCATCGCGTCCGGTAACACGACTTTTCCGGCTGCGAAGTCCGCCGTGATTGGCCGCGGTTCGCTTCCCTTAATTTACAACCATGCACTGGTTTTTCCGGTCGCCGGTACTCTGTCCTCGAAACTAGTTCTGCTAAAGGAAGGCGGAGGAGTCTATCAAACAAGCGCACTTCGCGGGGAATCCCGAGCCGGAGTGCTTTTTTTAAAGGAAGTAGGACGGCCACGGCCATCCGAGGCCAACTTGCGAATCTGCCAATGGCGACTCGTCGGACTATTTTCCTTCTCCCCAGTATAAGTAGAGGAGTGGATGCGTCTGCGAAGCACACCGTTGCGGCTCGTCAACTAGCCCACATCCGCCATGGCCTTCTGGAAGCTGCTCGTGGCCACCGTCGCTCTGGTGGCGGTGGCAGAGGCTCGCCTCTTCGAGCTCCACAACCGCCTGCCGTACACCATCTGGGTGGGCACGCAGGGCAATTCCGGCATGCCGGCGCCCATGGGCGGAGGGTTCGAATTGCGCGCGGGCCAGAAGGTGGATATCCACACGGACGAGAAATGGGGCGGGCGCTTTTGGGCCCGCACGGGTTGCCGCTTCGACAGGAACGGTCAGGGCTTGTGCGAAACGGGCGACTGCGGCCGCAAGTTGAAGTGCGGTGGCAACGGCGGCGCACCCCCGGCCACGCTCGCAGAATTCACTCTGACTGGCTGGGGCGGCCAGGACTTCTATGATGTCAGCAACGTGGACGGCTTCAACCTTCCTACAACGGTAAGAAACGCTTGCAGTGAGAGCACACGTCATTTTCCAAGACAAATCCAATTTGCCTTGGAAAATAACACATATTTAACTGTAATTGATTATAATTTTAATAATCTGAAAATGATCAAGAGTCAATTTTTTGCAACAGCTTGTGCATGCCTTTCATTATTTGTATGTTTGTACTAATACTTCCAACAATCAAAAAGGGATACAGGAAGTAACGTTTAAGCGGGTTACTTTCGCCCTGTAGAATTACTTTGTCAGAAACGAAAACTACTGGTGCTACTACAGCTCATTTTTCTCCTGTTAGTATTAATTGTAATATTATAATGATGCTACTTCTGTTCTACTACTATTACTACTTCACCATTCTCTTGAAAACTCGTAACAAAACGTTACTAAAACTATGTATGTCTTTAAATCTTTGAAAATTCAAAATTTTTAATGAAAGTTATACTTCTGTAATTAATCATTGTTAAACTGTTCAAAAAAAAAAAAATTTTTGCATCAGACAGAAGTCGACCCTACGCCTCTAGCTTTTCACGTGATCGCCACTGAACGACCGAACTGGGCTATGAGATGACAGGTACGGTCGTGAATGTTCCGTTCGATTCCACACTTCAGAAAATTCTTTCAAATGTCGCAAATATTACTTATTGACTGAATTAATGTACAAAATGAATCAAAGATCTAATAAATTAGAAATAGATTGCATACAGAAAGAAATATCTCTCGTCAATAATGAAGGTGTAGAACAGGTTCGAATGACATTTTAATTTTGTCTGAGTATAACTAAAAGTTACGCGATAACTCATATTTGAAAAACAGATTAAAAAAAGAAAAAATCTTTAATAATGGAGTTGTAGGAAGGGGTGAATAAATGTGGAATTTTCAGGTCTCTAGAAAATCGGACCTGCTGCGCCATTATTATATGCGTTCTCTATTGGAGCAAAAAGTAATGTTCTTTTGTAATGACACCATTATTTATAAGCTTTCGAAAATGTACTGGAGGCTTCATGTAAAGTGCATTAACAAACACGTAAACAATAAAAGATACGTTTTAAATATAAGATGCCACGACATTTAACTCAGATCCATCAGAAAACATCCTTTTGTTGATAAAATTCTGTACGGCGTAATGCTGTTGTCAGGAAGATGGATAGACTTTTTGAGAGAAACTTTTTCGGCGTCAAAAACCCTCAGAACATGGCTTTGACTAAACTATGTATGAGAAGAAAATTACAGGGTAAGCTTGTATTTCTGTAAAAATAACGATGGTTTTTCGCGCAGCAATACAGGACTTTCTTTATACAAAGTATTTGAGAAAATGAGAGGACTCAATCATGTGTGTTGCAGGGTGATTCCTTCGGAAAAAAATATGACTGGAAATTTTCCATGCCTCACAGTAGCGAAGGAGGCCTACCTCTAATAAAGTTATAATCGCCAGTACTTTGGACCAAGTAATCCATTTTTACTGTATGATGCGATATAACATCCGACAATAATGACGGTATTTTAATGGCATGTCTGTAAAATTGTTCTTTGAGTAAATATTTCCATTACCTTCGTTTTTTTCCTTCTTCTTCGTTTGCTCGTTCTTCTTTCTGGGCAAGCACTTCACCGATGGTCCTGTTTTAAAAATGTCAAAAATTATGCACGTTTTCGCATCAGTGAAACTTTATTTGCAAATCCATACTGACCATATACGCTGCGTATCAATACAGGTTTATCTTGTTTTGTACAACTGCCTTGATGTATGTGTTTTTATCAACCCCAAAAGCGCATTTTCTTTAAATGGCACTTAGGCTACTTTGCTCTTTAAATATCAGTCAAAATATTGTTTGAAACAAATGAGGAACGCTTGTCGGGAGGATAGATTTTCGAAGTTTCATTCGATCGATTTACTGAAAGTTATTATGTTGTTTAAAAGATATGTTGATGGATCAAAATGTATATTTTTTTACTAATAATTATAAACATTCTTCACCCCTTCCATTTGCCGAAAAAAGCTATTATTTATTTGAAATGCTACAAATCCTCCAGCCTGTAAATTTTGTGATTATTGAAAAGGTCCAGAACGATGAAAGTCTCATTTTTTGAGCGACCAGTCCCACCCTTTTGATCTGCGAAATTGTCTCCCGCTCAATGTGAATATACACCCTTAGACTTCTTTGAATATCACTGACTTTTGCGGCGGTCTGTGTATAATTCGACAGCAACGGGCGAGGGATCGCCTCACCCTCTCCCTGCTTGTGCCACGAGCGAAATTCTCCGAATCACCGTAATGACTTTTTTCCCTTTCAGCGGAGCGGCCCACCGGGAAAGGAAGGAACGCCCTTTTAAGTACCTTGATTGAGTCATTACGCGTGGCCTTTCAGAATTGGCCAAATTTGCCGTCCAATTTTAACCTCAAAATTGCAGAGTCTTCAAAGCGTTCTTGAAGCTGCGGAAATTTATCGTTCATCAACTCTCCCAAAACCCACACATTAATGCCCCATCTACGCCGCGGAGGCGCCGTGGCGCGGCGTGGCAAGCGACGGGGCGTTGGCGCCGCCGGGCGCGGGGCGCGGGGCGCCGGGCGCCGGCTTTCGCGCGAAGAGCCACCGCTGGCGGCCGGGCGCGGTGTGGCATGGCGTGGGAGCGCGTGGCTACATCACAAAAGACCTGGCGCGGCGCGGCGTGGCGTGGCGTGGGGCGGCTGGGGCCACCTGGAGAATGCACGCTTGAATGGGACACGGCACAAAGGGCACAGGAGACGTTTTGGACGACATTTAACTAACAGCATATGTGTATTCTCTGCAAATGCAGTGAAGATTGGCAATTTGGTTAGGCATGTGCTCTTCCTGCAATGACTAATTTGTTTAAAAAGTAAGTTGTAAGTAGGATATACGAAAGACATTATGTGAGAGTCTTCTTGTAATGCGTGAAAAACATGTGAAAATATATTTTAGTCTACCTATGAAATCAGTGCTATTTTTTCTGATACGTAGTATTACATTTTTTAAAAAAAGCAAGGACGCAAAAGGAAAAGTATATGCTATCGTACCAAAAATTACTATTATTAATATTAATGTTGTTGCGTAATTTTTTTATATAAACTTCTATTTATTTTTTTTATTTAATCTTGTATAATTCTATATTATCTAAGAAGTGGAATCCGAAATGTCAACTACCTTAAACGTTAGATAAATCTTGAAGAACTCGTCGCCGCAAATTGAACTGTTTGATTAAAACATATCAAAGCTTTCAAATCACTGTAGATTTTGTTAATCTGACTGTGGATATTGAATATGATTTCATAGCACCGTGTTTGTGTATTCTTCTATTTAATTGTTTCATTTTTGAAATTAAGCATTATAACAAATTAAGAATCATATGATTGTATCAGTACAGATAATTATTATATACTCAATCTTGATGCCCTAATTTGTAGTTTTATTTATTTATGGAAACAAACTATAATTTCTCAATTCGAAAAAACATAAAAACAAATAAAAATCCTATAAACGTCGCTATTGATTTAAGATAATCAAATGCGGCCATGTTTTGTTATGGAATCTCTTCAAACGATGAGAAAGTTTTGTTGTGGTTGAAAGCGACATCGCAATTTAAAATTACATTTTTTTCAAAATTAAGTTATATGTATTTGACAGTGCGAAATGAATGAGTGTCTTTTTAAAATATTTCGTTGGACATAATGGACTCCCATGGCCAAGGAAGCGCAGCTAGGTTGAATCGATAAGAATGTCCTGGAAATGGAGGTGTTATTTAAGTTTGTTAAGAAATTACATAGATTATCAATGTAATGTAGTTTTTCTTTGAACTAATTCTTTATTTTGAACAAAACTTATTATAGGGAGAAAACACTTCCAGTTTTAAATTTGGCTTTTTTATAAAAGGTTTTTCTCTGCACTAAATTGAGAGAGCAATATTTTGTCATTTGGCCGATCTAAGGCGATGTGCGTCTCGCCCCAGGCGCGGGCGCAGGTGTCACGCTCTCACGGGGGGGAAGGGGGGTCCGCGTTGGACCCCTCCGCGTCCCCTGCGTTCTCCAGAGCTCCCCTCCCGCGGCGCTATGTATCAAAATATCATCTGAGCCGAGATCTCTGTTCTCTGGCGCGGCCGCACGCTCATAAATTGTGAGCGCCGGGAAAAAATAGCCCCTCGCGCTCAAATACGGGCGACACCTAAGCCACGCGCTTGCTCGCGATGGCCGTCGATACCAGATTAACAGTTTTTATTGAATTAAGTCGACACGGTCACGCGCCTGCGGCGAACGCTCCCGAGGCCTGCCCCCCCCCTCCGCCCCCCGCCCCACCACGCCCTCCGCCACGACGTTTAACCTTTTGGGGCGGGGGGAGGTATGTAGGCCTGAGCGAAGGAATTCAGCGTAACAGTCATTAGAGTCCCTTGAAAAGATGATACATGACGAGTATCCAGGCAGTCAGTTGATACAATAGTTTTCTACGGGCATAGATGGCTCAAGGGATCTATTAATGTCACTGCAGTGTCCCTGACCAGGAGGTCCTAGGGTTAGAGTCCCGACGGTGGCAGGATTTTCGACACTATAGCTACATCATTAGGCGGACTTCAACCGCTGACTGGAGGAGAATTCTAGCTCTGATCGGTAGTATTCCGTGTTTTTTCCGATCAACATCACGCAAATGCTGGGGCAGTACCCTAACAAATGGGCCACGGGCTGCCCGTGATCTTTCCTTCCTATTGCTTGTCTTATCCTCATCCATTACTTACACATTTACATGCACTACATTACTACACATGCCGAGAGGCCAGTCCGGAGCTTAGAGCTTGTCCTAGCTGGCGCGATGCCCCGCTGGTGGGAGATACCTGGTTGGGGAAACCCACAAACCGTCGGCAAGGTCGGCGCCGGATCTCACCATCCAGCGGGGAAAGATCACCGCCAACTCCCGTTACTAAAACATGCACGACTCTTAAGGAACTAATGACCTAGGAGTTGACGCACCCGGAATCATCAATCAATTTTCTATGCGTTACCGTGGATAAGCTACAATGTTCTATTGATTATGCAGCAATAAATAAAAGAACATGCGTTTGTTTGTATTTTCTTTCCCTTTTGTGTTATGCGCAAGAGATCGGTTATTCATCTGAATGATAGTGTGCTCTTAAGGATATTTCGAGCATCTTACCTTAGGGTACCCTGTTTTTGCTTCTCGGTCGTCCTGCTTCCTATATTTGCCCTCTTGCCCCGTGCATCGCTGACGCAGCAGGAGACGCGACATATTACGAGGCAGCAGGAGCCTCAATATAATACGGAATTTATTGAAGGATTTTCTGGAAAAGACATGGTAGTTTCTAACACTTGATTATTGAATCCGATGGCGAAGCTCCTTTCCATGTTTCGGGCTATTGTATCACAGAATCTTTCTCCTAAATTCCTTTGAATGTGTGAATCCTTTTAACTGTCTTGAGAAAACCCGTGACCTATTGACGTATGTCAGTGATGCATTATGAAAGTTTTCAGATTTCTTTAGTTAATTATCATTACTAGTTGAGTTAAATCGAGGAATATTACAAGCAGATAGATAATGTACTGTTGGCTTTGAAATCTCTAACATTTCGTAAATAACTCCTGCTTTTATAATCATGCTTCTCAAGTAGATATAGCTATAACATTTCGAGACTTTTACAACAAACGATTCGTATCCCAGACAGTATGTTTGTGATACGTGTCATGAAGATTCTGCTTGTTGCATGTTTGGCTTGATATGTGATCTGCTATACGTCACGAAGGTGAGGCTGTTCGTTTTTCAAATTATTAACGCCTCCTTCCTCGTCGAGATTATTACTTGTTTGTCGGTATTTCTGTTCCTCAATCCCCGACCGACTCTTCTTTTTTCCGCCCTGTCATAAACGTCTATTTACAACGTACACGTTTTAATTCCGAAATGAAAAACGCCAACACACGCGCGCCGGAACACATTACCACTTTGATATTTTATGCACGCCCTTTATAAATTTCCGAACTACATACGCGAACCTAATTGCACTCACAGCCCGTTGATACACGTATTAAAGTTAGCGTAACGGCTATTAGTATCCATCCTCGTCCGTTCCCTATATGTCCTCCGCGAGCAGTTCTGGGTGATTTATACGGTCCTGTACCTGCTCCATTCCCAGCCCGTCTCACAGCTAATGAAATTGTAATGGGAGGAGGAAGATGGCCGGGCTCGCGTGTTATTTATCGGGCGAAGAACCGCGCGCCGCTGCAGCCGCCGTTGCCATTGCCTCTGGCTGTCGCCATCACCATCGCCGCTTGGTGAATGCACGTGTTGGAGGATGTCTTCTCCGTCACCACCCGTTTTGCAGTGAGAGATGGAAATGATAACTCTCAATATTTAGGATATATCTAAAATTAGTATGATAGAGAATTCCGGGTTTGCTAATAATCACCCGTAAGCGAAGGGCGATTAGGAAATGTTCCTCTTACATCCGTCGGTTTCAGTCACATACTTTTGTTCTTTAATTGATACGTTAACATTATAATTGTATTACTGAATCATAACAAAATGTTAACTGTCATTTAATACATCTAAAATAAATGTTATAATTTCCCACAAAAACAAACATTGTGATCCAAACGCTGAACAAAAAAAAATGGTTTATTGAACTACAATATATGAATAGAAGCAAGAAGAAGCGTGTATGCAAACTGATACTGTCTGCATTACAAATTTTATTATTTACTTTAAAATTTATTAGTTACAAAAATTACAGAAAGACGATTAGCACTGGGTTGCTCCGACCCCTTCTTTTCTATCATTAATTTCAATTTACTAAACATTTGATCTATATTCTGATAGTTTATCCAAAAGAACAGTATTGAACACGTACGATATTATGTTAAATGTTTCATTATATTTACTCTACGTTATAAGTCATGATACTCATAGATCTGTAATCTCCACGTATAACTCAATGGCTGTAATTGACACGAGCTCCGTCGTGTACCGATTATGCCACATTGAGCGTAAGAGTATAAAGTTGTCGGACCCCGGCGCAGGAGGAGGATGGCATTCCGTTCGCGACGCTTCGGGGGAAGTGTGGTGGAAGCGACGTCGCGAGTCGTAAAAGGTGCCATTCTATGAAGGCTTTTTGGCGTCGGACATAAAAGATTTTACGTCTGAAAAATAAACAGGACGAACGGACGTGGATGCACGCGGTCGAGCGGAATAGGAATTGGGAATGTTCCGTTGCTGTTTACTGCGAGCGTTCTTCTCTGTTTGTTTTCCATAAAAGAATGTCCTTAATTGTCGCACGAGTGGTGATTTTTTAACACGTCGATAAGAGAGTCTGCACGCAACCGTACTCTTTATTTGCTTCATGGTACATTTTCGTGTGAACCTATTATCTCATGATTCCACAGACATACAAATATACAATAATTTTAAAAAAATATGTAAGGAATACATGGACATAAGATGTACGCAAATTAGTGTATATGATCTAACTTGTAAAATTGGAATATCTCGTGTTAACATCGTGCAAGTGTCTTTTATCAGATGTATTTACGAAAGGACAAAAATAGCAGTTCAAATTTATCACACTCGTAGCTTTGCTTCTTTTTAGATTAAACTTTTTAGGTAATGTTTTTGTGTGTTTCTTTATATTATCTTTTCTAAATTTCCAAAAATTCTAAATATATTTTCCTGATATCATGCATATTTCGTATCACCAATAATGTCCTTTAAAAAGACATGTACTACATGCAATTAAGAACGAGTATAATTAAAATGTTCCTGATGTTGGGACGTACCTATTGATTTTGGTATAATTTATTAATTTCTGCGAACTCCGAGAATTTGTATTGAATATTTCGGTTTATTACTTTGTTTAATTTTCTGTGGTAGAAAATGAGAATTGTCGTGGAAAAAATAATATATAATGGGGAGTATGCAATTAAGACTATCTCATTTTTTTTAGGAAGAAAGTTATTTTAGTTTTACAAATTATATTTCTATTTTCAAAAGTTGGAGTAGTTTTTTATTGATACTTGAAACTAATGCAAACTTCCTTGTAGGTTTTTTGACGATTTATGCGTAAAATTCCAATATCGCTACAAATTATGTTATATTCTTCGATCTTGTAAGCTTTGTTTTTCGGAATAAGAGAATAATTAATTGCGAGCGAATACCCTGAGTATCGGATACTGAAGTTACATTTTATTCGGAATCCTCCCGAAATAATAGTGTCATATCTGTTCTTTCCGTTTTCTTTTCCACGGCAGTAGCTACTGCGTCATCTTTGGTTACGTTGCCCATCCCTCCCGTTTCTTTATGGTCCCACGACGGACGCGGAATTTCAAATACTCCTGCAATCGAAACAAATCCAGTAATTCTCTGTCCGTTTTAATTTACACGCCTCCTCTCGCCTCTGTTGACAGATCGAAACCATTAACAAGAAGGGCGGCGGCGACAAATACTTCTGCACCACGGCCGCGTGCAGGGCCGACATCAACGGCCAGTGCCCTGGCGAGTTGCGTCAGGTGGTGAACGGGCGTACTGTGGGCTGCAAGAGCGCCTGCCTGCAGTTCAACACGGACCAGTACTGCTGCCGCGGTGCCCACAACAGGCCAGAGACGTGCCGCTCGTCGGACTGGCCCAAGAACTACCCAGCCTTCTTCAAGAAGATGTGCCCCGACGCTTATAGCTACGCTTACGACGATCACAAGAGCACGTTCAAGTGCGTCGGCACCGGCTACCGTGTCATCTTTGGCTGAACTGTCCATCCCTCCCGTTATTCCTTGGTCCACTCATGACTTCGTTCTCACCGGGTTTACATCGTTGTTGATCATTTGATCAATTTCGTAAAATGTAATTCAACATAAATAAATTAAATTACTAAATAGAAATTACCAATTCATTGAAACACTGTACTTATTGTCTTGTATCCTTTCCTCCAAAAATTAAAAGAAATATACATCTGAAATGAAGGTATGAAAGGTAGAAATTACTTTGAAGTAATATTCGATGAGGGCGTAATGTTTCAATTGAGCAGTGGTGGATTATGCAGAATATACGTGCACTTAGGATTCCAATACTTTTTCAATAAAAAATGTACACTAGTAAAAACGCAAAAAATAATTGTGAACTATTTTATTATTAATCAAAAAAATAATAAATTTAATTCAGATAAAAATAGCGGTACTACAACAGCACATCCTCTTTTGCATTATTTGTAAAATTTGTAATTTTTGAAACTTCAGACACTTCAACCAAAAGGAGACCTGTGTTACATTTAAAACAACATTTGCTCTATACGCTGAAAAAAAATTAAAGAAAATAATTGGAGCCGTTTTTTTTTAGAATAAATAGTCAATTGCCTTTTCTTTAAACATCCATTTCAAATTTACAGGTTCTAGAATTCGACTAGATCAATAATGCAAAGTCAATTTTGGAATAAATCATTCAGGCGCTAGCGTACACCACAAACGGACGGACAGACGTTTTACCATCAACCAATTTTTCAGTATCAAGGACCCACAAAACATGGATTCTAACTACACAACATGTTTTAGGAAGTAATTTACTACATGCAGGTAAAAGATATATCCACTTTTTCGATATTAGGATTCTACAAACGAGTTTTCCTGACGTAAAATTGCAACATTACCATACGTTCTCTTTAGCTAGTAAGTACCTATTAGGCAAGAACAAAAATAGATAATTCAGTCTTGAAAACACATGTATGTGTATGTTATTAAAGAAACATTTCGCTAATGTTTACTGTTCGCGCATGCCCTAGGTTGGTGTGTTTTTAATTAGGAAAGAAATATAATAGCATAAAATAATTTCAATAGCTATATTTAATAAAGTATTTTAGGATATTAATTAAATTATTGAGTACTTTCGCATGAAAAGATACCGTGGCGAATTTCGATAATTCATAGAATTAATGTTTTAAACTACTTTGATTATTGAACTCCGTACAATTTGCAATTATAGAACTTATTGTTATTTGTTAGTTTATCATAATGTGCTTTATTTTGAAGTGCTTGTTATCTCAAAGCATATATAATTAGTTCTCACGAGAGTTTGTGCTCAATTCTTACCAATCGTTGGTAAAAATTCATGAAAAATTAACAAATAATTATTCATTTGTCATGAAGTGAAATAAGAAAATTAAGGTTAATGTAAGTGAAGAAGCAGTGATGAACCCTCAGTGTCAAAGACTACCGGTAATTTGCTTTTTTCCTTTTTAGATAGTATAGTGAGCACTCATGCATCCAGCTTGTTTCATGCACAAGGGGAGGTTGGGTATGATACCGAATTTCCTTGTTCTCTTTGCTCACAATTGTTTGTGAAAATCCGTCATATCAACCCCTAGATTTTTATGTACATGGAGTACAGACTTCATTCCGTGTTTGGAAGCAGGAAAATACTTGTTTATCCAGGAAGAATGACATGAGAGTCCTAATATTTTAATTGGATTGTGAAATGTAAATTAGTTATAAAGACGAGTGATGAGTTGTTCCACAATATATGATTATGTATGATTTCTTCCGCGTGCTCATCGTAATAGGAGACAAACACTTTAAACAGTCGAAGAGTCCTGAGGTAGACGTTGGATGGCCACATGAAGCAGACCTCTGCGAATGACGAGACCACGTCAATGAGGCCCCGCGAAAGATGAGGCTTCGGCCAAGGGCGCAGAGAAGCGAAAGCTGAATAATCTGGGAAAGAAAGGGTATTAGAAATGATTTATATTGTTGATAATTCAAGATGGGCTAAATGGTCAAGTCAGCACTGGACAGAATTATTAATTAAACGAAAAGTTATTATAAAGCCGGGAACGTACAGATGTTGAAATCAGTCGGCAAAATTTGTATGTTTTATTTTTTATGTTTGTGTGTGAACGAATGAAAAAGGGGAAACGTTTTCGGTTTGATTTGTTAAGAAGCATACCTGTGTTTCGTCACATCCTTCGTCTTCTTATTAAACGCATTTGCGTGCAGGTGCGATTTCACTGGGGTCGATAAATAAAAATTAATGTTATTAGATAGTAATGAATCTTCGAAAGCACAGGAAAGCTGGAAGAATAAAATATGGCGCTCGTTCAGAGACTAATGTAAAGGTAAAAGTAAATATTTGAACGAAATTCAGCATAGGACAGTGAAAGTTTGAACAGTTTCTGATAGTATATGCTGTATCCCCTGAATATACCACTATAATTCAGAAAGACTGCGCAGGTGTCCATGAAACCCATCTAGGCTCGTTGGAAGGTTGCGTGCCCTGAATGTCTTACTTCACTTCGCTTATCGATCTATTTAAAAACCCATTCCTCATCAAATTCATGGGAATGCCACCTGGCGATGGTACCTATTTCACCCGCTGCCAGCTCTCCTAATGTCGCCGTCTGCCGGGTGAACGCGACGCGGCGCTGCGGTACCATCTGCGTGGTGGATTTCCGCCTAAGGATGCAACATCGATGTCAATGTTTTCAAAACATCGATATATTAAAGCCCAGGTTTTGTGATCGGTGTTTTTTTGTTAATGAAAATTCCCATAATTACAATTCGTAAAGTTAAAATATGAGGTATTGAACTTTGGTACTGGCTTAGTTGGCTCAGAGCATTATTTGATGTCACTGCAGTGCCCCTGTACGCGAGGAAGAATTTTCGATTCTACGTAGATCGAATTCAGTCGTTCTCTGGAACAGAATTCTAGCGGCGGTTGCTCTGATCGGTAGTTTTCCGTGGTTTCTCCGATCAACACCAGGCGAATGCCGGAGCAGTATCCTTACAAACGGGCCTTCCTCTTCCTTGCCCTATCCTCACCCATTACACACACACTGATATGCACTAAACTACCACACATGTCGAGAGACCAGTCGTAAGCTTCGTTCTTGTCGCTGGAGTTGTTGCCCCGCTGGTGGGAGATACCTGGTTGGAGAAAACCCTGCAAGCTGTCGCCATCCAATTTCGGAAGATAACCGCCGCCTCTCACGATACATGCACTACAGTTACGGGACTAATGGCCACAGACATTTACACGCCCCGAATCACTAATCAATCAATTGAACATTGTGTTTGGTAATATCCAAGTTTTTGTATCGATGTCGCATCACTACTTCCGGTCCGCGGGGCGGGGCCGGGGCCGGCGACGGCGCGCGCGGCGTGCACTCACGTGAATGCAAGTGGCGCGGGCAGCGCCCACTCGTCGCCGGTGGCCTGCAAGCCGAGGAGTCCATTATGCGGCGACACGCAGCACGCGCGGCTTGAAAGCCTCTGGCGCCTCGCTAGAGAGCGTGGAGAAGGCGCGGGCGGCGGCGACGTCTCGCCGATGACAGCTGGCCGCCCACCTGCCCGCCCTCTTTTCCCAATTCGGGACGTTTATGGGCGAGGAGCTGATGCGCTGCGTGAGAAAGGTCTCGGGATCAAGACGTTCGTCCATCGAGCCGTGTGAGAACATGCGTGTAGTTTGCCCGGCTGTACGTTAAGTTTTATTGAGTTTGAACTTTGATTCATCTAGAATGAAGGGGATCATGATGAATGTGCGGATAAAATAAGAATCAAAATTTATTTTGTATAGAACATTATGGGGAAGAAATTTTCTTCTCAAATGCATCTGTATCTTCATGCTTGTCTTTCTCCTGTTGCAAATTTTTATCATGTGCTATGGTAACGAAGGAAATGTAGAAACGTTTAGTATTAACCCCTTAAATGCGATAATTATAATAGATGAAAGTATTACATTCCATTAAATCCACATCCAAAGTTGCATATTTCAAGGATACGTTTGTACGATGTTTTTGTTCTAGTCCTACGAATATTTCTTTAGTTTCTGAGGAATTTGAATTTTTAAATGGGAGAGAAAAATTAAAGATGGCCATCTGTGCAAGAATACACGAAAGACATTCTTAGTGAAGAAATATTGACAATAGTAAAGCATTACGATACCATTGCTTTTGTATGTGATACCAACATAATAGTAGCATACGTGGTTTAATACCCCAAAAAGACGGAGAACATTCCACACGTCATGCCATCTATGTTATATACGTATTCGAATATGAAATAAATATGTTTCATCACGTTTTGTACTTTTGTTGTCAACCCTGCTTAACTTTGTGCGAGATTCTAACCCTTTGCGGCATGGATTTGTTGACAGCTGACACAAATGTATGTTAGGAGCTGTGCTCCAACATACATGTTAGGTAAGTGCTTTCCAACCTTCTGTGTAGTATATGTAATGTGATGAGCCCAGCTGAGGTCACTTCGAATTATTACGCCTAGATATTTACAACTACATGACTCCGAGATTTTATTTCTTACAATTGTGTAGTGGAGTGATTCCTGTGTTCGAGCCTTCGCAAAACTGTTTTGTTTAGGCTCTCAGTTGTTTTGCCTACTCTCTCAATTCAGACAAATCTTAAATGGAACGTCCTGTTAATTGGATTTTAAAAATTGAAGTTCATTACGCTAAATGATATTCAGAATTCTTTCAAATTCGGTCAGTATTCATACTGCCCGTTTTCTATCAGAGACTATTCTGAGCACCAAAAGGAAATTAATATTGATTTTTACATCGATGTGTATTGTATTAGTTACCATTTGTAGTGTATAATAGGAGGTATAGTAATTCATCTCCTGGTTTAATGATCTCCTCTCCGATGAAATTTTGCGTTCACTTCCCTGATTCCGTGAGAAAAACATTAAATAGCCCCTTGTTTTACTTCTTGGCGTAAATGTTGCTTCACTCGCCGCGCACGTCGTCCTTGAGCTCAATGAGAAACATAGTTTTTTTTAAATAATAGTTCGCAGGATTTCTCGCGGCAGTAAGTTGATTCATTCACGAAAGGAACGATAAAGGATTATAACCAATATCTGTAGAAAATTTAGTACCTTTGCAAGTAGTATTTATTTCACACGAATATTTTCTTATCAATGCTTGCCAAGAACCTTCATTTACAATCAACTTCATGTGTCTATGAGCTACGATTAGGATCCCAAGGCTCAATAAATCATTCATAAATTGCATTTCTCCCCTTAGTATGTCAATCACAGGTTTTAACTGTTTTTTTACGATAAATAAAAAAGTGTGAGTGAAGAGTGACTCACAGGACTGCCTTTGATGAATCTCCATCAACACATTTAACTGTATATCAACGAATTTATTGCGGTATTTTCGAAAAAAACAACAACTAAACAACTTCATTTTTTTTCATAAATATTTAAAACTTTTAAAACATGAATACAAATTTTTGATAATTTGCGCGAAGAAATTTGATCCCTTCCCTCTAAATCAAATGTTTAGATCTACGCCTGGGTTGTAGATGGAAATTTCAGTTCTTCATGACAA